TAGTGTGCCCCGACCCCCCCCTTGGTGTTGGCCCCAAGACCTGACAGCCGGGCGGTGGGGGGCCTCCCGGGAGAGGGAGTTCCCGCCCGGCGTCCCCCCCCCCCCCCCCCAAGTCCAACGAGGTGCTGCCTATGGGCAGTTGCAGGGTTCCACCTGTGTGTCTCTTTCCTAGCCTGGTCTGCTGTGCGGTGGAGCCCACGTTCCAGGGATGTACATGCTGGTAGAGACACATACCAGCTCCCACCTCCATCTGAAGAGGGCTCCAGGCATCCGGTCTTGGTCCCTTCTAGTCGGTAAAGCTTTTAAATTTTCCCAAATCCAATCTTCAGATCAATAAAGCAAAGCCTTTCTTTGTGTTCTGTTCCATGTTCTCAGGACAAGGCCTTGGTAAAGCATGTGTCTCAGTAACAATCCCGTGTGCCCTCCCTTTCAGATGAAACGCTCGCATGCACTGCCAGCCCCTGCTTTTCTGAGATTACTATGGTTTTCCTTCTCCCTTCCACGTGATGGGTAATCAAGGGTTCCGGTTTTTCCTCTTCTGTCTCAGCTACCTGAGTTCACTTAGCCTCCTGACTTCATCTTCCATTACTGAGGGCCTTGCATCTCAGGGATAGCTGCACTGGGTTGATGGGGCTGTACAGTGTCTGAGGTGAGGCGCTGGCTGTGACTTCAGCAGCTGCGTCTCTGTGGTCTGTCCTGCCTATGACACATACATAGTCTTGTGTGTTATGCACCGTGCTGCGTTATAATTCTGTGTAGTCCTTTCTTCACTCCTTACATGTGGTTGGGGTAACTGCCGCATCATAGTCCTTTGTACAGTCTCTGGATCTGCAGACATGTCCGATGGATTCTGTGAATGACATATCCCTATTTTTAAACAAGCTTCTTGGCTGTTTCCCTAACTGTGCATTTGGTAGCCTCTACCTGGTGCCCCAGAACAGTTCTGCCAGTTGCTGGGGGTTGTGGCACTGGGATGTTAACAAGGTTCCTTCTCTCCCTACAGGAATCTTGTCCACTGGCCTAGCTGCTGCCTACTACAGTGGAGGTAGAGTATCCCATCCCCTTAAACCTCCTCAGATTTGGAAATGAATGGAAAGTTCTCACTTGCATGCAACCATGTTGGGTGTAGCCTATGGGATGGCCTCTGCTCCATGCCTTGTGTGGGAAATGAGCCCAGACTGTGTCTTGCATCTTAAATCTCTTCCTGTGTTATCAAGTACTTTGGGAACGAAGTTCTTGAATCTGCCTGCTGCCTTGCAGCAGAGGAGCCATGCTTCCCTACTTTCCTCCATGACAAGCTTGGGGAAATCAGCCTGCCTCCCAGATGGACTCAGGCAGAGCTTCTGATCGACATCACCCGTGACCCAGGCAGGGTTAGCCAGTTGACTAGGCAGGCAGCTGGGCCCTGGGTGCCACTTCTGGTTTCTGACCTGAGCCTGGGGAAAGGCTGGGCTGGGTGGACTCTCATGTGGGCATGTCACCTTGGCTCCTGTTCATGGGCTGGCATCCTGTGTCTGCTTGCAGATAGCCTGGGCTGGAAGCTCTTCTATGTCACAGGCTGCCTGTTTGTGGCTGTGCAGAACTTGGAGGACTGGGAGGTAAGGTGGTGCAGCAGCACTTCCCCATTCAGAAGCATTTGTCCTAGTTCAGAGGCGCGCATTTACCTGGCCTCAGCCTTGACTTTGCCTGTGATCACTCCTGGACTGTCCTGGGGGCTCTTCATGATTATCTTTACCAGAGTTCTCCTTTTTTTTCTGCTGGCAGGCTGACTTCAAACTAAGTGAGCCTCTCAGCCTTCAGCTAAGCATACTGCTGTACCACTTGGTTATTATTTTTATTTTTGTGTGTGTATGGGTATACTTACCTGCACGTAGGTAAGTGCACCTGTATCGTGCAATGCCCATGGAGGACAGAAGAGGCTGTTGGATCCCCTGGAACTGGAGTTACAGACAGTGGTTAGCTGCCATGTGGGTGCTGGGATTTGAACCCAGGTCTTCTGCGAGAATAGCCAATATTCTTAACCGCTGAGCCATCTCTTCAGCACCTATTATTTTTATTTGTGTTTATGCATGTATTGCCTGCATGTAGGTAAGTGCACCTGTGTCATGCAATGCCCACGGAGGACAGAAGAGGCTGTTGGATCCCTTGGAACTGGAGTTAATGGACAGTTGTTAGCGGCCATGTGGGTGCTGGGATTCAAACCTGGGTCTTCTGCAAGAAGAGTCAGTGTTCGTAACCACTGAGCAATCTCTCCATCCCCCATACTTGGTTCTTTATTAGGGGATAAGGTACATTGTCCAGTGCTGCACCGTCCAGTGGTTTGGCTAGATGCACAGGGCAGGGACTCCTGAGAACATTCTGCTAAGTCAAAGTTGGGTCAGCTCCAAGGCCAAGTTTTGGTCGGGAGTAGGGGGTGGCCTCCTCTGACATCCAGCCCTGTAGACTTGGTGCGCTTAAGAGTCCTTGAAGTTGCTGCTGTCTGCTGTTTGCTCGAGGGCCTCATGGCCGAGAAGTGTCCCCTTTTTGTTCTTTTACTTACTTTTCCTTGTACTGGGGATTGAACCTAGGGCCTCATGCATACTTGGCAAGCGCCCTACCACTGAGCCCTAGCCCTAGCCTGGTCTAGTTCTCATGCAAAGAGGAAAAGGCACCTGTTCACCTGCTTTCTCTCATGTGCCCCATACCCAGCAGGAGTCTAAGGGGTCAGACATAGAGACTGGTTCTGGTTGGTATGGGTGGGGATGATGCCTCAGCATCCAGCTCGCCCCTCCCTCTAGGTCTTTGTGCTCAGCATCCATTGGTTTGCAGGAAGCCATCTTTAACAAGAGCACTGGGAAGGTCGTCTTGAAAACGTTCAGCCTCTACAAGAAGCTGCTAACCCTTCTCAGAGCAGGCCATGACCAAGGTGAGCCACAGGAAGTTGGGGTTTGGAGGCGGCCTTGATGGCTTGGGTCTAATTTATCTGCTCAGGGCCTAAGGACCCTCCAGGCATATCCAGGTAGGCACCCCATACCCTAGGGTCTCCTTCATACTCCAAGGCTCAGCCTGTCAGGAGGGATGGAAGCTCCTGGGCAGCTCCTTTTGGTTTGGCTGTAGATAGTGGGGGGTGGGGGTGGTCACAGTACCAATGCAGGCTGAGTCCAGCAGGGAGCCATCCTGGTCTTCAGGCTTTTTTCAGGTCTGAGTTTTTTTTTTTCTTTTGAAACAAGGTCTCCTTGTAGCCCCAGATGGTCTATAACTCATGATGTAGACCAGGCTGGCCTTGAACTTCTGGGTTTAGGAGCTAGTCCAGCTGTGACAGCAGGTTTTCACAGGTTCCTGTCCTGTGTATCCAGCCCAGCTACTGTGCATCACAAATGTGCAAGTAACTATGTGTGCATGCACAGCCCCCTCAGTAGGCTTTTAACTTGGGGAGTCAGGCCTATGACGTTTGGAGCGCTGGCTGGCAGTGTACAACTGAATGTGGTGAAGACCAGAGCTGTAGCGGGCTGGGAGATAGCAGTACATTGGCTGAACTTCCCCATAGGCTGCTTATTGGGAGCCATGACACTTGAGGGCCATTCCCCACAGACACCAAGCCACAAGGTCAGCCCCATGTAGGTGTGGCAATGGGATGAGGCTGGAGGCTCCCTGCACAGCTACAGGTAGTGGTAGGGCCACTGCCTTGAACCAGGCAGGTTTTCCAGCCTTAGGTAAAATAATCCTTGAGCAAAAAGCTCATGAAAGTGACAGGGCTTAGTGGATCCCTGCTGTGGGGCTGCTCAGTAGCATAGCCAGCTACTGCTCAGGACCTGCAGATATGAGGGGTCTTCTGGATGCGTCCTTATCCAGGAAGTACTGCTCTAGAGTCCAGGATGTGAAATAGCATATGCTTTTTCCACCAGTGCCACTGTGACTGTTGAGCAGAGCTGTGGCCCTGAAGGGGCCTGCCCTGCAGCACAGGCTGGGGGAACAGGGTGAAAGTAGAGGGTAACTGCTCATCTGAACTCCTCTTCCAACCCCACCCCCAGTGGTGGTCCTGCTGAATGACATCCGTGATGTGAACGTGGAGGAGGAGAAGGTCCGCTACTTTGGGAAGGGCTACATGGTGGTGCTCCGGTTTGCAACTGGCTTCTCCCACCCCCTTACCCAGAGCGCAGTCATGGGGCGCCGCAGGTAAGGGTGGGGCAGAGGACGGGAAGAAGTTAGCTTTTATAGACAGGCTGTGGGGCTGTGGGAAGGATATGTATGCTTAGGGGCAGCTTTGCCATGATCACCTACAGGGAAAACATCCAAACAGGCCTGGGGTCTATGGAGAGTGAGACCAAGGCCAGAGATACAGGGCCCATTTGGGACCCCTGGGGCTGCTTCAGGATGAGAGTGTAGGGGCTTTGTGAGCATTGTAGACTATCTTGCCAAGGTGACTTGCTTTCTTGATGGCCTCCCAGTGATGTGGAAGCCATTGCCAGGCTCATCACTAGCTTCCTGGAGCTGCATCACCTGGAGCGCCCCTCAGAACGGTCACAGAGCAGCGACAGTGAGGGATGATGGACCTGGGAGCCAGAGCTGACAGCGTGAAATGGCTGCTTACCATCCACTTCTGATGTCTCCAAATGACCTGCCAGCCACAAGGGTTCAGATCCTGGCTGCCTGTCTATGGCTCCCTGGGCAGTCACAGACTGCCTGCTTTTTGCTTGTTTACGCTTCTACCCTTTGCAGAACCATGGGCTGGACCTCCTCTACAACCCAGGAAGGCTACCTCTGTCAGGACACAGGAGGCAGGTGTCAGAACTCAGGAAGCAGGTGCTATATCCAGGGGAACATGGGCTCAGAAATGGCATTAATGCCTTCCCCAGAATCAGACTACAGCCCTGGCTTGGGCAGTGTGGCCTGGTCTGGATAAGCTCACCCCAGGGCATGTGGGGCACAGGATACCAGGCTTACTTCAGCATGGGCTTAGGGTCTTGCCTTCCAGAGCCCTTGCTACCCCAACCACTGTAGTCAAGTCCACCTCACAGCTAGAATGCAGTACCCACATGCATGTGGGGAGGGCTTAGTCCCTCTGTAGATATTGGTACCAGCATGTTGCCAGAAACCCTGATGTCTCCTCTCCCTAACCATCACTCCCCTGAATGGACATCCTTTGTGGTGAGGGTTGGATATGGGGGTGTGCTTGGTTTCAACACACCCTCTCTCAAGAGGCTCCCTCTCTGTGAGGACCTCAGAGAATCAGAATGCCGACTGCCCTGCCTACACTGCTTGTCTGAGATCCCAGCAGGTTGCAGCACAGTTGGTGGTGGTGGAAGGTTTTCCCAAGGCAGCCCAGGGAAGCTGCTAGTGAAGGAGTGGATACCTCTAATGGCATCCTGCAGTTGGAACACCCCTGGAGCTTCTGTGTAGAAACCGAGCCCCAGCCTCCCCCCAAGCCCTGAGAAGACAGGCATGTGGCACACCCCTATAACCCAGCCTTCAGGAGGCATGAACAGTGGGAGTTCAAGGCTAGCCTGGGCCACTTCTCACAAAATACTGGTACCAGCTGCTGCTGCCCCTTGTCTGTCTTCTAGTCTCCTTCTGAAGGGACTCAGTCCCTCCAAGGTCCATTGTACAGAAGTCTATAGCCTCTAGGCCTGAGAGCTGTGGACCCCTGGTCCGTATGCAGCCCCTTGAGGTTACGCACCTAAGCTCCGCTAAGTAGAACTAGGAAAACTGAAGTGTACCTGGACGAAGGGGTCTAGGCAGCCTTGTGGCCACTGCACCCGGAGCTGAGAGTATGATTCGGTTGGAACTTGGCTCAGAAGTGATTGCCACTAGTACTGAGTTGGGGGACAAGGTCCCTTAAACATGCCAAAGTTCAAAGTTTTTCTAAATGGTCGAGTCAGACCATTTTCTTTCCCAAAAAGAGAAGTGTGAAATAGAGCTGTTGGCTTTCTGCTTAGTTTCCTGTGGGCTCTTGGAGTGCTTTAGACAAGGAAGAAGCCTGTCTCCAGGTGCTGTCATGGTCCCTGCATTGCCCTGTATCGGAACTTGTTTCTGGGTGAAGAATTGAAGCCCACTGAAAGCCTGAGTGGTGGTAAAAGGCTGATTCAAGTTTCTGAGTCCTGCTGGCCTTTTTATTTCAGAATTAAAGCTCTACATGCGGACTGCAAATGAGTCTTCACGTGCCTTTTTCTTCTGTGTTTTCTGCTTTTCCCAAGGTTACTATCTGAGCTTTGGCAGTCTTGTTCAGGGATCAGCAGGAAGCACATGGGCCAGATGTAGCTGGACATGGAGGCAGTGAAGCCTGATGTTGCCTGGGTAGATCAGGGCTCCAGCCTTCAGGGGTCCTGACCTGTGTCCCAGCCAGGGCTGGTGGGCAGTGGCTGGTGGTCAGCTGCCTCCCCTAGGTCCTGTACCAGACCCTGCAGCCGCTGCATACTCGGGTGCACATTCTCCTCCAACCATTCCTCTATGGTGTCCGGGTAGAAGGCCAGCTGCAGGGCCACCTCCAGCTGCTGCACAAGGGTACTCCACCTGCTCAGAAGGCTGAGGGGCAACAGCAACTGTGAGCTTAATGGGCAAGGGTTCCTGCTGAGCCTCTTGTCTGTGTGCACTGCTCAGGTCCTTAGCCTCAAGAGCACAGTTTACCATTGGGACAAATAAATGAGCAGACTGGTCACATGACTGAGGCCACTGGCTGGCAGCTTTTCTCATGGCACACGACTGGGTCATTCTGTTGGCAGCACCCTACACTCAATGGGGGGAGTTTGTTATCCTAATTCATCAGAGACCAAACCAGAAGACGCCAGGCAGGCTGCCTGGGACTCTAGTCACAAGGCCTCTCAGTCAGGGTGTACTGGGCAGTTATGGGGTCAGCATGGAGCCCAGATGGCCTGGCTCCAAAGATGAGCAGGTAGATGATACTGTCTCAGGCCAGGGACCACCTAGGATTCTCACTGATGTTAGGGGCAGTGTTAATGAACAGTGGCTATGCATTCATCCCAGATCCATTGCTGCAGTACCCAGAAAGCTTTTCTTACCTCAACCCTGATGACCACAGCCAGTGCAGTGTGTGTATGCATGCATGCTTGGGGGGGGGGGGGATGATCTGGGCCAGGGGCTGAA